AACTAGAAAAATGCTTATTTTTGGCCCCTTTTTGGCCCCTTATTCCTGAACGTTTTGGGCAATTACCTCCAAACTCAATTCCAGCTTTCCCTTTGTGATATGGAACGTTGTAGTACAATTTTAGAAAGATCCATATACTTACACACAAGTTATTGTCATGAAACTAGAAAAATGCTTGTTTTTTGCCCCCTTTTTGGCCCCTTATTCCTAAAATTTTGAGGCAATTACCAAAATCAATCCCAGCATTCCCTTTGTGATATGGAACCTTGTGGTACAATGTCAGAGAGATCCATACACTTACACACAAGTTATTGTCTTGAAGTTACAAAAATGCTTATTTTTGGCCCCTTTTTGGCCCCTAATTCCTTAACTGTTGGTACCATAACCCCCAAAATCAATCCCAACCTTCCTTTTGTGGTAATGAACCTTATGGTAAAATTTCATAGAGATCTAATCACTTAAACTAAAGTTATTGTGCGAAAACCAATGTGTCTTCGGATGATGACGACTATGCCAACGTCATACCAATATAGGACCGCAAAATTTTTTTGCGGTTGTATAAAATTATAACAATAAAGATTAAAACAAAGCAGCTGATTTTCCACAAATGTATGTTTTTATTTTGAATGTTTATGTCTCCAAACAGTGACTAATGGGATGCATATATAATGACTCTATTGATCAATGTTCCTGTCCTTATAATTAGCTTATGGTCTGTATATGTTACAGAATAGAGAAAATGTGCAATTAAATGAAAAAAAGAGAATAATGGGTGTTTAGATAGAATAGTAAAAAAATTTGTATAAAAAATAAAGAATACAGAACATGATGACCCAAGCACCATACCCATCTTGCTACCAAGACCCTCTTAACTTTTCCCATAACTCAAAAGACCTAAACCTATTAATTCTAAAGTCAGAAGTATGTAGACATATCTTTAGTAGGTATCTCAATACTAGGAAAAAATCAAATTGAGTTATCTTTCTTTATTTGGGTGTGCTCCTTTGTCGGAGGATTATACACAGTACTCAGTAGAAGTAAATACGATCAACAATGGCATCCAGTTTTGTTATTTTCGTATAAAAATTGAGAGCAGGCAAAGACAAATCACGTCTGAATTTACCATTTTTTATGGAATACAAGTAAAATGATGTGTTTTAACAAGTTATTGTGGTTTTCATCTTTCTGTCAATTATGTTTTCTTAAGGAAACTATGGTAAACGTTGCAAATTGTGTTGCCGTATGAAAATTTCTTCAAATGAAATGACAAATGCCGACTGACCAATTCTATTTGAATGAATTAATGTTGATGATCATTAATGATCCATCTGATAAACGGATTACCTGTAACAACTAATTATAACACCTGTTGTAACCGTTGCTTAGCTTGGGGTCGTAAACAAAGTCATAAACTTGTCGCCAGGTAAAATTTCTTACCTTTTTTTTTTTCTTTTACCAATCGGTAATATTATCGTTACAGTCAAGAAATGAAACATTTTGACATAGGGAAATGTTGACGCCAGAAAAATCGCCAGCAGCCATATGAAAAAAAAATCGCAATTTGCGACATTAGAGAAGCCCAGCGCAGTCCCTGCTATTGTCTGGAAACCAAATGTGTCTTCCGACGATGACGCAGAGGCCAACATCATTACATTATACGAACGCAAAATAAATTTCTTCGGCGAGCGCAGCTGGATACAACTGCATAGATCCAACCCTGAATAGTTGGGGCAAAAATGGACACAATATTCGCGCTTGATACAGGTCTGAATTTTGATTGTAATTAAATATTGGAAACATAAAAGGTTTCTGACACAGAATAACTGTAGTCAAAGAACATAGAATCGGTTACATGATTTGAATTTATATTCAATTTTTTGCTTTTGAGCAATACACTTTGCTGTTGCGAATTGCCCCCCCCCCCCCCAAAAAAAAATTAAAAGTTTATCCCCCCCCCCTTTTTTTTTGCTTTTGTGCAATACACTATGCTGTTGTGTATTAACCACCCCCCCCCCCCCCCCCCCCCCCCCACCCCCAAAAAAAAAAATTCTTTCCCTCCATATATGGTCATAATCTCAATTCAAATTTCCAATGGAGTTTGCAACCATAATTAACCATTTAAATTTACCATAGTGCTAACTTAATCTATTTTATAATAGAATTTAAAATATGGTGTCAAATCTTTCATGTGTTGGATTTTTTGCAACATTTGAAGATATTTTTACTGGTCTCCCTTTATAAACATGCATTTCTTTAAACATGAAAAGCAGTGCAAGGGAGGTAATCAAAACGTTGTATTTGGATTACCTCCCTTAAACTGCTTTTAAATTGTCTTAATTGTTCATTAACCATTACTTTATACATAATTTAAAAGCAGTGCAAGGGAGGTAATTCAAATGGGATAATATATTGTAAGATTGGGCAAACCAAAGAGCACTGATAATTCAATTTTTGATGAAATCAAACAAAGTTTAATTTTGGAACACAATTTGGACCAACTTTGAAAACATGCCCAAAATCTAAAATCTAAAACACTGTTTGATTGGGCATATAATAATTCAATTTTATCCAACTTGAATACTGTGCCCAAAATCAAAAATCCTAATACACGCTTAGATTCAGCAAATCAAAGAACCCCTAGAATTCATTTCTTTTTTGAAATTAAAACTAAAGTTTACTTTGGGACCCTTTGGACCTTAATATGGACCAATTTGAAGACGGCTGGCCCAAAAATTAAAAATCTAAATGCACGGTTAGTCTGCATATCAAAGAACAGCAATAATACAAATTTGGATGAAATCAAACAAAGTTTAATTTTGGACCCTTTTGACCTCAATGTAGACCAATTTAAAAATGGGGCTCAATATCCAAAATAGTAATACAAGGTTAGAACCCAAAAATTAAAGACTAAAATTAATTCCCATTGAAATTGGTTACAAGATTTGTCTTTATTTTCAATTGAAGATTTCCTGCTATTCCGCAATACTGTGCAATTGAAGATTTCTTGCTATTGCGCAATACTGTACTATTGTGCAATACCTATGCTATTGTGCAATACTGTGCAACTGAAGATTTCTTGCTATTGCGCAATACTGTGTGCGCAATACTGTGCTTTTGCGCAATACTGTGCAATTAAAGATTTCTTGCTATTGCCCAAATACTGTGCAATTGAAGATTTCTTGCTATTGCGCAAGCGCAATACTGTGCTGTTGCGCAATACTGTGATATTGCCCAATACTGTGCTATTGCGCAATACTGTGCTGTTGCGCAATACTGTGCTATTTTGCAATATTGTGCAATTGAAGATTTCTTCTTGAAGCTTTTCAAAAATTTGAAATTTCAATAATTTTGAAGAAAAAAATATGAACCCCCAAAAAAATTGAAAAAAAAAATCCCCCCAAACTATGGAACCTTGTAGTACAATTTTAGAGAGATCCATACACTAAAACACAAGTTATTGTCCGGAAACTACAAAAATGCTTGTTTTTGGCCCCTTTTTGGGCCCTAATTCTGAAACTGTTGGTACCATAACTCCCAAAATCATTCCCAACCTTCCTTTTGTGCTATTGAACCTTCTGGTAAAAATCATAGAGACATTCACTTAAACTAAAGTTATTGTCGGAAACCAAATGTGTCTTCAGACGATGACGCCGACGACACCGCCGACATCATAGCATTATATAAACGCAAAAATTCTTTGCGGTCGTATAAAAAATGCTGAAAAATGATTACTTTCCTTAATTGTCTAAGTCAAAGGACCATAACTCTGCACAAAACTTCAGACCGGAACAAAATCAGAAATTGTTCTATAATGTGTCATGGTAAACCTGAAACTGTATACCAAATATCAAATCAACATCTGTAAGCATAACAACAAATAGTGTGGAAAACTGATTACTTGCGTGAATTTAAGAAGTCAAAGGACCTGCCATGTGAGGGACTCAAACTCATAACCTGAGTGTAAAAAGGCTAGTGATATAGTAGTTAGCTACGTAAAAGAATATTTGCTAAAATAGGACAAAGTTAATTGTAGGCCAAGCTAAAAATAGTTATACAATACAGTTATCTCCATTTCTATGCATTCTATACAAAATAAAAAAATGAGTATTTGACACATCATAGGTTTATGACACAAAATGAATGTGGTCAAAGAAATGAAAAATTTGTAATTGGACATTTACCTATTATGGTCCAATATCCCAAATCTAAGTACATTGTTAGAATCAGCATATTAAAGAACCCCAAGAATTCAATTTTTGATGAGATAATTATTAATTAAATTATACCTGTTCAAAGGGAAATAACTCAAAATAAACAAGAGACCAAATGACATAGAAATTAATTATTAATTATACCATTTCTGTTCAAAGGGAAATAGCTCAAATTCATATAGTAAAAATCACTTTTGTTTCTGAAAGGTCTACAACTCAACAACGAAAAAAGCTAAAATCGTGAAAATTGAACTTGACCTTCATTTAGTCACAGGAAACAACATATCTTAATTTGAAAAGATTTCGTCAAAGCGTTTTCATGTTAATGAACAGAAACTGTTTGGCAGCCGCCCGCCGCCGTACATCTCCAAATCAAAAACCAAAAACAATTAATTATCAAAAATTAAGAAAGCTCTCGTCTTGTTCGCTCTGGAATATGAAATAAAAGACATCTGCTAATTTTGTTGAATATTGAAGAAATCACATAATATTAAATTCCTGAATTGAAAAATGACAACTAAGCTTAATTAAAAGCTTGTTAAGTGTGGATTTAGCGCCTCAAATATATGATGTTGTCCAATCAAAATGGTGATAACAAATAATTGCATTAGAAATTTAAATTGATTGTTCCAAACTAATGTTTTAAGATTTCTCTCCTGAAGTATTTTAGTTTTGCGGCATTTGATTTCTGAGTTTTAGATTTCTTTATATTTTGTAACTTATTTTCTACTTGATTCATTCTAAGTGTAAGCATTTGTAATTCAACACCATATCTATCACTATATGTACCTGTAAGTATTCCATCACTTCTTTATACTGGAGAAATTTATATTCTGCTGCTAGATCGTATGGCGTCAGACCCTGAAATACAGACAAATCTTTATATTGCTTTCACCTGTTACAAAGAAGGCTTCTGTAACACATAATATCTTACAATTAGTAAGACCAGTAGCAGCTGAGTGGTGATTTATTTTATCTTAACAGATGCTAACCATATATACCGGTATATAACTCATGAGATGACATTTCGATTATTTTTCACAATTTTGTGAAGACTTTAAATAGGCTTTTAACTCTTTTTTTTAAAGAATCAGAATAAAAGTTCCATCTGTCACCATTTGGTCCTGTAATTTTCTTTGCAGTCTGAAGATTGGTAAATGCATCCTTATGTCTACATGAGGTGTGGAGGACTTTGGGGGTTTTCATTTTTAACTATCTTTTCTAATTTTGTGGGCACATTATTCACAGTTCTTTATATTTTTAACACCCCAATATTATTCTCTATTTTTTATATTTTTGTACCCAATTCTTTTCTATTCATTAATTCTACCCATCCAAACCCTCCTATATCTGTATACCCCATCCAAACCCTCCTATATCTGTATTTCACATCCACACCCTCCTATATCTGTATAACCCATTTAAACCCTCCTATATTTGTATACCCCATCCAAACCCTCCTATATATGTATACCCCATTTAAACCCTCCTATATCTGTATTACCCATCCAAACCCTCCTACATCTGTTTTACCAATCCAAACCCTCTTATATCTGTATACCAAATCAACACCCTCTTATACCTGTATTACCCATCCAAACCCTCCTATATTTTTTCCAGCTGAATTTAAGTATTTTAGGGGACATTTTTTTATATTTTAAAACAAACAATTTCCAAACCATGAAAAGTAATGGTAAAGTATTAACTGAAAATAATTTTAAACTATTATTATCAATGCACTTCTGGCTATGATAGATTAATGTTTTTAACACTTTAACAATTTCCTTGATTATATTCAATTCACAAGTCACAAGGAGCTCAATATGCATCTATCATGTCCATCTGTAGAGTTTTATACATTATTTCTAGAGATGATGATGGGGGTTATTAAAGACCTTGACTGGCTATACAGCCCCGCACGGTGGTTGATATTAGAGTATAATAAAAAAAAGTTAAACATTTAAAGGAAGTAGAGATGAAAAAAACTAGATATCATTGAGATGGGAGCCATCTCTGTGGGCCCCGCTGTGAATAATGTGTGGTAAAAAATTTGTATCTTTATCATTGGACATGGGGTTGTCAACTGAAACCGAAGTTTATGACCTTGACCTTTGACCTAGGAAGTTGTATATAAATTATGACACACCCTCTGGTGTTGGTTTATATACATGTCAAGTATAAACTCTGAAATCATAACGGTTCTCAAGATATAGAGAGGACACGATCTTTACTATAGGACATGGGGTTGTCAACTAAAACCAAAGTTTTTGACCATGACTTTTGACCTAGGAAGTTGTACATACATTATGACACACCCTCTGGTGTTGGTTTATATACATGTCAAGTATAAACTTTGAAATCATAACGGTTCTCAAGATATAGAGCGGACACGATCGTTACCATAGGACATGGGATTGTCAACTAAAACCAAAGTTTTTGACCTTGACCTTTGACCTAGGAAGTTGTACATACATTATGACACACCCTCTGGTGTTGGTTTATATACATGTCAAGTATAAACTTTGAAATCATTACAGTTCTCTAGATATAGAGCAGACACAATTTGTTACAGACGGAAGGACGGACAGACAGATTGATCACTATAGGGCGTCCGCCATTCAGCGGGGCCCTAATAATTTTCAACTATTTATTTTCTAATTGTTCTAAGGTAGAATAAAATGCTCCGCAGGGCGCAGCTTGATACGACCGCATATCAAAGAACCCCAAGAATTCAATTTTTGATGAAATCAAACAAAGTTTAATTTTGGACCCTTTTGACCTCAATGTGGACAAAGTTGATAAAGGGGCCCAAAAATCTAAATACATGGTTAGATTCAGCATATCAAAGAACCCCATATATTCAATTTTTGTTGAAATCAAACAAAGTTTAATTTTGGACCCCGATTTGGACCAAAACTTGAAAACTGGGCCCATAATCAAAAATCTAAATACATGTTTAGATTCAGCATATCAAAGAACACTAAAAATTCAATTTTTGTTAAAATCAAACTAAGTTTAATTTTGGACCCTTTGGACCTTAATGTAGACCAATTTGAAAACGGAACCAAAAATTAAGAATCTAAATACACGGTTAGATTCGGCATATCAAAGAACCCCAATAATTCAATTTTTGATGAAATCAAACAAAGTTAAATTTTGGACCCTTTGGACCTCAATGTGGACCAATTTAAAAACGGGGCCCAAAATCCAAAAACTTAATACACGGTAATATTCAGCATATTAAAGAACCCCAAGAATTCAAGAATAAAACCCCATTGAAATTGATCAAGAAATAAGCAATTTATAAGAAGTATCTTCTTTTGCACAATACTGTGCAATTGAATATTTCTTGCTATTGCGCAATACTGTACAATTGACAATTTCTTGCTATTGCGCAATATTGTGCTATTGGATATTTCTTGCTATTGCCCAATACTGTGCAATTGAAGATTTCTTGCTATTGCGCAATACTGTGCAATTGAAGATTTCTTGCTATTGTGCAATACTGTGCAATTGAAAATTTCTTGCTATTGCACAATACTTATTATATAAAAATTTACACATCCTGTTTGGTATCTCCTACCATATCATTATTATTTGCTTTTAAATATAAATCAGAAATAACCAACTTAAAATGGAAAATTTTAAAAGAAAAAAAAAAGGAAAAAAAGAAAAAAAAAGAAACTAGAAAAATGCTTATTTTTGGCCCCTTTTTGGCCCCCAATTCCTAAACGTTTCATGCAATTACCCCCGAACTCAATTCCAGCTTTCCCTTTGTGATATGAAACCTTGTAGTACAATTTCAGAAATATCCAAACACTTACACACAAGTTATTGTCATGAAACTAGAAAAATGCTTGTTTTTTGCCCCTTTTTTGGCCCCTAATTCCTAAAATTTTGAGGAAATTACCCCCAAAATCAATTACAGCCTTCCCTTTGTGATATGGAACCTTGTGGAACAATGTCAGAGAGATCCATACACTTACACACAAGTTATTGTCTGAAAGTTTAAAAATGCTTATTTTTGGCCCCTTTTTGGCCCCTAATTCCTTTACTGTTAGTACCATAACCCCCAAAATCAATCCCAATCTTCCTTTCGTGGTATTGAACCTTATGGTAAAATTTCATGGAGATCCATTCACTTAAAATAAAGTTAGAGTGCGAAAACCAATGTGTCTTCGGACGACGCCAGACGCCGACAACGTCATACCAATATACGACCAAAAAATTTTTAATTTTTGCGGTCGTATAAAAATAATAAGTAATATTCTCATATGTATTTGCATTCAATTTGTTTTAGATTTAACCTTTTTTACAAAAATAAACACAAATTTAAGGAGTATATTGTGAAAGGTGACAAAAAAGGTGAAGTAACTCAAATTTTTGTGAAACAACTTTGAAATACACAAATTATTTTTGACCTAAAGCTAAGGTAATTAGTGTTAATCAACAGTGTGTTTGACACCAAAGCTGTCAAATAAAGCCATGCACTGAAATGGGTCACTTAATTTGAGTTTACACAGCTAGTTGATCTTCTTGTAAAGGAAGAATTACGAATTTGCCGGTATTTCAAAGGAAATCAGTCTGAAGGCTAAAGAATCCAGGTGAAAACGGGTCATTTTCGGAATTCCCTGGTTATTTAACTACCCGGCGGGTATTTAAAAAATTTCGGGTGAGGGGTGAAAATCTCGGGACACACCCGCAGGATACGGGTCAGTTAACAGATATGTAAGTTGACTTCCTTCACCTGCCTTGGGTACACAAAAGGCCAACCTAAAGCCGGGAAAATGTAATACTACTTTTTTCCCTATACTGTGACATAAAGATATAAATAATTCTTATGACATTATCAATGCAATACTGAGTTATGAAAACCTTGGCTATAATAAATACTTGTATGTCCCCATTACTTAAACATGGATCATTTTATGTCCCCACCCCTACATGCTGGTTTACCTCTTTCTGTACTTCTTTCAGATAAGGCTTAATAAACTACCTGTATCCAATCATATCTTATCTTATTTAAAAAGAATAGTAAACAGTGCCATTTTAACAGATAATAAAATGCTCCGCTGGGGCGCAGCTTGATACGACCGCAGAGGTCGAACCCTGAACAGTTGGGGCAAGTATGGACACAACATTCAAGCTTGATACAGCACTGAATTTTGATTGTAATTAAGTATTTGACACAGCATAGGTTTCTGACACAGAATGAAAGTGGTCTAAGAACTTAAAAATTTTCAATTTACCTATTCATACATGTGATGGACTGTGAAACTCAGATCAGGAGATTGGGAAATTTTGGTCAGGAGATTAGGACTCAGATCAGGAGGTTTTTAATCGACATTAATTTTGTTGTAAATGTAACCTTGTGCTGTAAAAATGGTCTTTTAAAGTGTGTTTTCTTCAACTTTCCAACCAATTTATTATGTTTATAGTACCCTTGTAATTATAAAGTTTCTCTATCTTTATATTCTACATGTTCAATCTAACATTGTTTTTTTCCAGTATGTTCTTTAAATTTTTTACTTCATCTTCTATAAAACAATCATTGCAACCAGAACATTTGTTAAGCTGTCTGCAAATAGTTTTTATTTTTTTTTTTTTTCTCTTGCAAATAGTTTTTATTTGCCAACTCAGAAATTCATTCTATCTGTAAAATAAGGGTCATAGTTATTATATAAATTTCAATTTAAGCCTTAAAAGGAAGTATAGAATCCTCAAATAATTTTCAAATTATTATTTTTTTATTTGTCCTAAGACATTTAAAATCATTTAATAACCATCCTTTTATGATTATTTGTTCAATTTATATTTTATTTATATTCTTTTAAAAATTTTCATTATTAAAAGGAAAGTAA